TCTGTCTGGCAAGCGCACGTTCCCTATAATGAACCGCCCCCCAAAAAAAAAAAAAACTTTAAAAAGGCTTTTGATTTCCCATAGAGTTCATTTAAATAAACAGGTGTCCTCTCAAGAAAATTATTATTTGGAAAAAGGTTTAAAGCTCAAAGCAAGCATCCGTACCGCTGTAACCTTGGACTTGACACCTTGCCAAAAGTTTCTCACGTCGTAGTTGTTCTTCATGGACAGCGTGTTCCATACACGGATCATACCGTCCCCAACGCCTATGGCTAAACAGCCTACGTCCACGGGGGAGAAAGCCAGGCTGTAGGCAAAGCCCCCAAGAGAAGGCAGAGTCCAGCAGCACTCCAGGGTGGCCAGGTCCCAACACTTCACCTGAAAAAACCAAGGGTAAGGGGCTAAATACAAAAACGAGCAGAAAAGAACAAGACTCATCCAGCATTTCAAATGAGAGAAGCTTAATGAGTGGGCAGAGATAATGTAATGTAACTCTCAGGAGGAATTGGAAAAAGCATTTTATAAGGAAAAAAAACCAAACCAGTAGTACAGCTCAAAGGGATCTTAGCGTATACTCATTCCCAGAGGTGTCAAATGAATGTAGTCACCCCATTAATAAAGCAGAAGGCCTCCCACTTCCCAGAGTTCAGTTCCACTTCTGATATTGGTAATTTCTTCATTCAGCAAATGCTGAATAAGGATGAAGATGGCTTCGGCACAGGGGAGAAAATCAAGGAGCTGTTACCTCAGAAAGGAAATAGCTTATCACAGCCAGGAGGAAGTGGTTCAGTTTTCAATCCTTGGCCCTTTAACTGAGGGGCTTGGGGGACTGGCAAGTGGCATGATGGTTAAGGGTCCTGGACTCCTACATGGGTGACCGTGTGTGGTTCGAGTCTCAGACCTGGTGGCTTGCTTTCTCTCTTTTGCTCTCACTCTTGCTCTGTCCCTCTCTGGTCAAATTTAATAAATAAAGTTAAATAAAAAAAATTCTTGGGCCAGCAGGTGGCGTGGTGGTTCAGACGCTGGACACTCTCACATGGCCAACCATGGTTTGAGTCCTGGACCAGGTGACTTTCTCTCTCACTTTCCTTCTCTCTGTGTGTCTGTCTTTCTCTGATCAAATGAAAATAAATAAATGAATAAATAAAAGTAAGTAAATAATTATCTTTTAAAAAGAATTCATTAAAAAAAAAGCAAAAATAAAAACAGAGGGGCTGGGAGAAAATGAAAACGACCACGTAAGCTGTGCTTAACTGCGTAACAGAAACATCACAGCCAGAAAAAGCCAGTTCTCTTGGACAGCGCTCACCGAGAACAGGTGATTCTGCTAGGAGATACAGAACAAAACAAGCCAAAACGCGGTATCTCACACATCTTTCCCTGGACACACCTACTCTGTCACGTCTGCGTTAACCAAAAGCCATCCTGGTGGTTCCTCTCATTTCCCCTATGTACTAGTGACACGTTTTTGTGCCAATCAGCAACAGGAACCCTGAAAGTGGAACCAGAGTGAGCACTGATTGGCGGGTCTGAAGAAGCCCTCTGTTCCCACCCACTGCACACCCCCTGCTCTGCAACGCTGAATGCAAACACGCAGTCCTTACGTCTCTGTCCATTGATGTGGAAAGGAGCAGCTGTTGGTCATCCTCAGTTTGTAAAGAACATAAATTAAACACAATTCTTGAATGATTCTGGCCTTCTGATGAAGCACTGAAGAGGGTATATTTCCGCCTCCAGGACTGGGTGAGATCCCAAAGCAGCAGTTCACCACTGTGAAGGGGGAAAAAAACCAAAAACCAAAAAAACAAAAACGTGAGTGCTTTCATAGCAATGTTAAAGCAAGTGATTGCTGAGTCAGAAGGTCTGGGCTCTTAGTTGTAATAAGATCTCTCTTAATCATTACTTCACAGAGAAAGTAACTGAATATTCTGATACACGCATAAAATGTCTCTGGGGGAACACGCATGCACAAAAAAGGAAGGGAAACTAGCTAGGGAAGACAAAGATTTGGATAAGATCTCTCTTAATCATTACTTCAAGGAGAAAGTAACTGAATATTCTGATACACGCATAAAATGTCTCTGGGGGAACACGCATGCACAAAAAAGTAAGGGACTCAACTAGCTAGGGAAGACAGAGATTTGGAAAAGATACTTTGCTATAAAAAAATTAGGGACCAGAAGTTAGCGTAATGGCAATGTTGCTGGACTCCCATGTAGTTGACTGTGGTTCGAATCCCAGACCCGGTGGCTTAAACTCAGGATGGGCGCATGTGTGTGCGTGCCCAAGATCCCGAGAGGAGAATGGAGAAGGGACTGCGGCGTGGCCATCCCCCCTGGGGAGTGATTTCTTGCTTTCTGTCTCTCTGTCTCTTCCTGGTGAGTGCACGCGCCCTATAGCAAAAATCTCTCCCCCCTCCAAAAAAAAAAAATTGCTATAGGACACATGCTCACTGGGGAGAGGGAGAGAGAGAGAAAGAGAGAAAGGAAAAGTAAGAAAGCATTACTAAGAGACGATGGCCATGTTGCAATCACTTCTCCTCTGTCCTCCTCTAGGGATTTTTGGGAAACTCAGGTACATGTTCCTGGGATATTTCTCAAGCTACTAGGTCCAGAATTCGAACCACACTAGCCATGTGGGATCTAGCTGCTTTAACTACCATGCCACCAGCTGGCCTGAACTACCCTTGCACCCCCAACCACCATGCCACCTGTTGGCCCCCCAAAACTACCTTTTAAACAGATTTTTTTGGGACCAGTAGATGGTGTACTGGTTCTGTCACTGGACTCCCAGTGCAGTTGGCTGCGATTTGAGTCCTGGACCTGGTGATTTAAATCTCACACTGGGTACATGTGTGCCCAGGATCCGAGAGGGAAATGGAGAAGGGATTGTGGTAGCTGTTCCCCCTGGGAGGTGATTTCTCCCTTTCAGTCACTCTGTCTCGCCAGTGAGTGCATGAGCCCTATAGAAAAAAATCTGTCTCACAAAACAAAACAAAACAAACAAACAACCCCCCCCAAAAAAAACCCCAAACGAAAAACCCCAGATTTCTCTAACAGTTAGAAATATAAAATGCCACTAAAATTTACATAGTCCTAAAAGCTTTGATATAAAATAATGGCCTTCAAAAAGTCTATGGAAAGATGGGATTAAAGTATGAGTTCATAGTGATACAAAAATTTTTGAAAACACATAATTTCCAAAAACTTTTCTTTTATTTTTGAAGTTATTTTATTTATTATTATTTTAAAATGTGACAAGAGAAGGGAGGAGAAAGAGAGAGAGAGAGAGAGAGAGAGAAAGAGAGAAAGAGAGAGAGAGAGAGAGAGAGAGAGAGAGAAGAGAGGAAGTGAGAAAGCAAGCCACCAGATCTGGGATCAAACCCCACTTGGCCATGTGGGAGTCCAGTGCCTTAACCAACATGTCACCTGCCAAACCTCCGCAAACTTTTCAAAGACCCCTTGTGCCTATTTCTTGGTGGAGAGCACCAAGAGTGGGGAGGACCATGGTTAATATATGGTTGGGGGGATTTCTATGTGTTTTGCCTGTATTATCTAACTTAAAAGCAGGGACCTTGTCTGCTAAATTCACACATTACTTCCTACAACTAGAACTAAGTGTGAAATAAATTTTATTGAATGGCTGTGCCCATCTAAGAGAGAAATTCATTTCCATGTGACATCAGAGTCCACGCTCCTAATGACCCGGCTATCACTTGACTTTTCGGTAATTGTTGGTACATAGCACAGGAGTCAGTACCACAGTAATTTCATTCTGAACGGCCCATTGTAACACAAGCCTTGGCCATGCTCTTTCCATCTTCTGCACCTACAGAGAGAAACCTGAGAAGCTCTGGGGATAAACAGGAAAATAAAATATACCTGAGAATATACGACCAATAAAGACTTACCCGAAACAGCTGGATACCAGCTGTGCTGGCTGATTACTGGGCCAGTGGAGTGTCAGCCAAAGGCGCTCTTTAACAGTTGGGTCTATACCCCCTCCTCTTCTCTTCAGAAAGGGCAATTTCAGAACCATCACCGCTGCAGGGTAAAAGAAAGCCAATCGGAACCCAAGGTAGTGAGACTAGGTGGAAAGTCACTAGCAGTCCACAACACACAATCTGTGGTTTAAAAGCTGGTTATTTTGGGAGACAGCAGGCCGTATGAAAGTTAGGGCACTGGGTCCCACGTGGATGATTGTAAGGTTCAAATCCTAGATCCGGCAACTTGAAAGTCACACAGGCCATGTGTGTGCATGCCCAAACTCCTGAGAGGAGGATGGGGAGAAAGGGCCGGTGGTATGGCCGTTCCCCCGGGGGCGAGTTCTTAATTTCCATCTTTTTATGGCAAACACATGCATTCTATAGCAAAAAAGGTATATTAAAAAAAAGTTTGTTATTCTGGTTTCTTAGAATTTAGATCTCATTTTCTCATGGAAACATTATTATAAATAGTGGTTTATAACCATTTAGTTACATTTAGGTCAAACAAAATTTTATAGCAGGTCTTGGAAATCTACGTACTTTACAAATATTTTTTTTTTGTTTTGAAAACTGAGGTCCCAACTAGAACTGAGAATTCGGTTGGTTAACAACCCAAGATTCTTTAAAGCTGAAAGAAGTGACCATGTGATGACTTTTTTCTTTAGAGGGATTTTTGCTATAGGGTACGTGCACTATAGCAGAGAGACAGAGACAGAAAACAAGAAATCACTGGCCACACCACAATCCCTTCTCTTTCATTATCCTTTCAGGGTTTTGGGCATGCATGTACATGCACTCAGTGTGAGTTTTAAGTAGCCGGGTCCAGGACTCGAACTGGTTGACTCTGTGGCGAGTCCAGCAAACCACTATACCACCTGCTGGTCCCAAGGGTGAGATGACTTCTGTTTGACAAGAGATCCAACAAAGAGGAAAATACAAAGAGTTGCTTTCACCCAACATGCCACTAACCTATGTTATTATTATTGGGTTGTCAGGAAAGTCACGATGCATTTTTCCATAGAAGAATATGTCATGACCTTTCAGATGACCTAATATTTTTTTCTTTTTTGCCATAGGGTGTGTACACCCTATGGTGAGAGAGAGAAAGACAAAGAGAGACAGAGAGAGGGAAAGTGAGAAATTACCCTGACGGGATGGCCATGCCATAATTCTCTTCTCTTCCATTCTCCCTTCAGCGTTTTGGGCACATGTGTACACACACCCAATACGTTTCTCAAGGCACTGAGCTCAGGACTTGAACTGTGGAGTTGGCCTTGTGGGGTCCAGTGCCTTAACCACCATGGCTACCTGCTAGCCCCCATTAACCAGTGGTTCTTAATCTGCACTGTGCATCAGAAGCACAGGCGGAGCTTTTGGAAGTACACAGCCAGGATCCAATCTCCATAGATTATGATTCAACAGATTTGAGGTGGGGTTGGGGAACCTACTTTTTCCAAAAATTCTTCAGCTGATTCTACCACACAACCACAACCGATGGCCATTGTACTAGACATCCATAAGTTTAGAGGTTACTTCTAGACGGACTCTTGGTCTGATGTTTTCAGTTGGAGTTTCAGCTACAGTATGTCTCAAAGTAGTTCATTCTGTCTCCCAACATTATTCTACTAGTTATCACTAATTCTGAATTATGTGCCAAGCAGTGGCTACTTGTTTACATGAGCTCTATGTCTGAGCAAAGATGATAAAATAACCATGTTCATAGCGGCAGTATTCAGGAAAGCAACCCAACCATCCACTGAAGAATGAATAAGCAAAATGGGGTACATATTTTGTTGTTGGGAGAGTCATCATGCATAGAAACAGAAAAATAAATCGTGACTTTCCCGACAACTTAATACATTCAATGGAATACTATTCAGTCTTAAGAAGGAAATTCTGACACATGCTATCACATGGATGCAACTTGAAGATATTAGGCCCAGTGAAATAAACCAGTCACAAAAAGACAAATATTGCATCATTCCCCTTATGTGGATTAGGATAAAGTAGGTTGCCATGGGTTGCTGGAAGGGTAACCAGGAGTTATTGTTTAATGGGTATGCAGTTAAACCGCCAGAGAGCACATATGCTTGCCAGAGAGAAAGACAGAGAAAGAGAGGAAGGAAGGGGGGAAAAGCACTCTTCACCCACATGGAGCATGGTCATGTCAAAATCCCTTCTCCTCTATTCCTCATCCTGTCGGGATTTCTGGTCTCACACACACACATGCACATATGTCTAGTGCGTTTTTCACGCTGCAAAGGCTGGAATCTGAACCGTGGTCACCATGTGGGATCGGGTTCCCTTAACTCCGAGGTTACCTGGCCAGCCCTAGAGTTTTAGTTTGACAAGATACAAAGAGTGAGGGAGACGGACGGTGGTAATGGTTGTACAAAATTATAAATGTATTGAACCATGTAAGTGTATTTAAGAGAGGTGAAGACACTGAAGTATGTTATGCATATTTTTATCATATTAAAAACAAAACCTGGGGAAGTATTAGGTTGTTGGGAAAGTCATGACGTATTTTTCTGTATTTTTCTATACAAAAATTCATCAGGACTTTCCTGACAACCTACTAGTTGGAACAGGTCTCCACTATAAAGAGGAAGGAGGCATTTTTTTACTATAAAGGTAATATTCTGCCTAGAATTTCTTTCAATTGGTAAATGTAAAGGTGCAATCTCTCTTCGGGCCCAGCTGTGGCACCGTGGTAGGGTGGGACAGGTGGGAAGGTGCAGCTGGGGCCACACTGAGGCCACGGTTTGGCTCCTGCACTGTCCTCAACAGGCCGGGGCAGGGGTACCTCTGTGGTCCTAGGTAACCTGAAGCTGGGATGGGAGGGCTAGGACACCTCCCTCCTTCCTTTTCTCTCATTTAAAACAAATAGAAAAAAGAAAAAAAGCTCTTTTCAGAGAGAAGTTTGAAGAAAGCTAAATGACTGAGGGTCTTCGGGATTTGGACAAACTGAGCTTTTACATTTAAACTTTACACTCTATTCTCAATATACTTTAATTATTCCGCATTTGTTCATTAACAGCTCGAATCCTGGAGACCTTTTCCATTCTTCTAGTCCAGGCACTGCCACTTCGAATCCTCCTGTTCCCATGACAGATATCTTGCTCTCCCTGCCAAGCGGTGTACCTTCTACACGGCACGGGCCCTTGCCTTCTCCCGAAACTCTCCTCTGACATGAAAACCAGATATTCAAACCAGTCAGTTCCAGGGGAACAACTGGAGGAACAACTTTTTGGAGAGAAAAGTAAGCATCTGCTTTCTGACAGGTGACATTCTGAAGACAAGACAGAAAAAAAAAGTTTCTTTCCTTTTTTTTTTTTTTTTTTAAAGTTTGCTACAGGATGTGTGTACTTTCGTGTGAGTATAAGAGAGAAGAGAAAGAAATCACCTCTCATGGGGGTGGCTATGCCACAATCCCTTCTCTTCCATTTTCCTCTTGGGATTTTGGGCATGCCAGGCATGTTTTTCAAGCTATGGTCTGGCACTCAGATCAGCCATGAGAGGTCCAGCTGCCTTAATCACCAGTTCCTGGCTGGCCCAAAAGCTTCTATTTCCACTGGGTTAATCTAGGTTGTATCGCAAAAGAAACACGAAACACCAATCTCACCTCGACCTCTAGAGCAGCTCCAGATTCGAATTGTTTGATCTTTGCTTCCAGTGGCCAAGTAGCAGCCTTTGGTTACTGTCTGTGCTGTAAATTTCCCATTGGGAATTTCAGGTTCTTCTAGGAGAGAGATGGTTGTTTTTAATTTGTATTAAACATGCATGTATCAAAGAAAAACTAATTTGAAAGAGTTCCCTAACCTTAGCTATCTTTTTCAAAGGTCTGGTCTGTAACATCTAAATGATATAATTTTATAATTATAATGCAAACAATTTAATTTTACCCACTTTGCTCTTTAGGTCTAAAGAGTAATGAACTCTCAGCAAGATACAGTTGTATGTGCTCATAGTTCCAGCTACCTGGCAGGTGAAGTGTAGGTTCAAGGCCAGTCTGTGACCAACTAAGAGAGACCCCGTCTCTTAAAAACAAACAAACAAACAAACAAACAAAAAACAAAAACAAAAACAAAAAAAAGTACTGAACCCGCCCTTAAATCTTCTCTACCTGAATTTTCTTCTTGATTTATGGACAAACAATCTTCGCCAGGCAAGGGACACCAGGTTATGGAGTGGATCTCATCGTCATGGCCTCGAAGCCTGTGAATAACTTCTCCTTTTTTACTGATATCAATGATAACCACTATACCATCCTTGTAACTAAAAAACAAGAGTTAGAAATATAATTGAAAGGACGAGCAGTTAGCGTAATGGCTATGTCGCTGGACTCCCACGTAGTTGACCGCGGTTCGTGTCCTGGACCCCGTGGCTTAAAACTCACGACGGGCGCATGTGCGTGTGTGCCCAAGATCCTGAGAGGAAAATGGAGGAGAAGGAATTGCGGTGTGGCCATCCCCCCTGGGGGGTGATTTCTCGCTTTCTGTCTCTGTCAGTCTCCTGAGCGCACGCCCCCTATAGCAAAAACCTCTAAAAAAAAAGAAAAGAAATATAATTGAAAAAATGAAGACAGAATAATATCAGAAAAACCATTTTCGTTTAGGGGTTAAATCATACATTTCTAAAACTCAGATGTATTTGGGATTGAGAAGGAAAGAGAATAAGAAACAGTTTTTTGCCCTTTTTCCAAAGCACTCGTTTCATTCTTCCTGGTTTTGTTCAAACTTTTCTCCATTATCAAACTCTTCGTACTAAGTAATACACTCTGTATACAGTCTGGCATGAAGCTCAGTGGAGCATTTTTGTTTTAAGGGAACTTAATGAAGAACAGTTCTTATAGGGGTCCAATAGCTCTTCTCCCCCCCACCAATAGCTCTTCTAACAAGAGATAAATCTACTCTAGTACACTGAAAAAAGATCTCTTAAGTTATATTACTTTTAAAATTATGAACTTAAAAGCTACAGAATACTATATTCTAGATCTGCTTATTCCAAGGCTATTTTTTTATAAATTCAGATGAAGCTGAGAAAGTCTAGTAGGTTTATTTAAGGGAATTATTCCAGATACATAAAAAAATATCTACCACCCAGTTTATTAAAAAAAAAAAAAAATTACCCATACAGCTGAAGTCCTCTGTATGAGAGGTCTTCAAAAATGTCATGGAAAAGGTCCATTACGAAAAGCTATAGATGTATTTCAATTTTTTTTGCATCAACAAGAACTCTTATTTTAGTTTTTTATTTCCACAAAACTTGTGAAGTTCTCTTGAATAACCCATACCTCTCCTTCTCTTCCCCAGAAATAAACCACTATTTGTAAATTTTGTGTTATATGATTCTGAGCATTTCTTTGTGTGTAATTTTTTTGTTTATTTGTTTCTGTTTTTTTAGATTTTTGCTACAGGGCATGTGAACTCACCAGAGACAGAGAGAGAGAGAAAGAGAGAGAGGGAGGGAGAGGTAGAGATAGATCACCCCTTCAGGGGCATGGCCACACCCACAATCCCTTCTCCTCCAACCTCCTCTCTAGATTTTGGGCATATACACACAAGTGTCCAGCATGTTGTTCAAGCCACTGGGACTGGGACTCGAACCATGGAGTTAGCCATGGGGGAATCCAGTGCCTTAGACACCATGCCATCTGTTGGCCCTATATATATTCTTTTTTTTCTTTAAAAAGAGAATTATTTTTTTTAATTCAACTTTATTTATTTATTTTAATTTGACCAGAGAGGGACAGAGTTAGAGGGAGAGGGAAAGTGAGAAAACAAGTTGCCAGGTCCAGGACAAGAATTGCGGTCAGCCATGTGGGAATCCAGCATCCCTAACCACCATACTACCTGCTAGCCCTATGGCCCTGAACACATTTTTAAATAAGAAACAATTATTTTAAAACTTAAAAGGTCAGCTCTGTGGCCTGATGGTTAAAGCTGGACTCCTTATGGCCAACTGCATAGTTTAAGTCCTGGCCCTTGGCCCTGAAGTGTGAAAAACACACTAGGTATTTGTCTGTGCTTGTGTGTGTGTGCCCCAAATCCTGTGGGTTTTTTAAGAGGAGGGGAACAAACATATTTGGATGCCTACAGATAGCTCATGTGAAAGAACCGGGAGATCAAGGAGACCCAGAACCCAAGGCCATGTCACTTTCCCAAACCAGAGGGAGCTCTCAGAATCAGAGACGGCAGAGTCCTCTGACACTCGGGGAGTCAATGCTATAACCAAGAGCAGTGTGGGGGAGAAAAAGACGAAAAAGGCCATTTTCTGTATTTGAAGATTGACTGGAGGGCTTAGGAGAAATAAGAAAAGTACAGTAACATGGAAACCAAGGAAAAGAGTGACAGAGACCATCAGGACCTAGAAGACTTAGGAATAAATGATGCCAAGGGTTCAGGGTAGTGGCTAACAGTTGTAGATGGTTTTCTTGGAGCAATAGGAGAGAGTAAAGCAAATGCAAAATGTGATCATTAAAAAACAGCGCAGTATAGATGGCACGGTACTTACCCAATGGCTACTAAATCGTCATGATGGGGTGAACAAGTAAGACAGAAGATTGTCCTCGGTTCTATGAAGAGGTGCTGGCTGTCATTTCTGTTAAGCCAGTAACAAAAAATGACGCCTTTTTCATCTCCTGATACTATTAAATCCTTTACTCGAGGAGACCAATGCAATGCTGATATCGTATGCTTTAAAAGAAAACATATTTTTCTCATTTATCAATGCCGTATTTTTAACTGTATCATAAACCAGTATGCTAGCACATTACAGATGCTTAATACTTGCCAATGGTATATGTATAGCAATACCTTATTAATCAACTGATAGGAAAATTTAGAGTACTGGGGACCTAAGAATCACTTAATCATTTTTCCTTCCTTTAATAGCTTAATGTAGTTTTCCAACCAAGATTGAGTCTTTTCTTTAGTTCTCTTAATAGCACATCGTTTAGAAATTGGTTTCATCCCCTCATTTACAGCTTAGAACAGGAGTTTATTTTACGTAAACAGCTAGAGACGAAATGTTTTAGACTCTGCAGGACGAAATGTTTTAGACTCTGCAGGACGTACCATCTCTGTTGCAACTACTCTGCTGCTGTAAGCATAGACAATACTGAAACAAACGAATGTGGTTGTATGCTATTAACACTATTTGCAAAAACAGGTGGGCAGAGCAGTGAGTTAATGCTAGTTAACATGCATCTTTCAAAAACATTCTGACACAACTTTACAATACAAGGCTTCTTGTATGTTTAACGAACACAATTGTAAGTTACCTTGCACCAATAACCTAGCAAAACTACTCGAAAGAAAAGAAAATGCAACACGAATATACAAAAACAGTCTGAGAAACCCGTAAGCCAGGGTACCTGATGGAGTGCATGTTCTGTCACAACTGTTTTTGTTTCTACATCCCAGATTTTCACAGTCCCATCGTCGGAGCTGGTGGCACACAGGTTGTATTGACCAGGGTGATGAGAAAATGTGAAGCCAGAGACCCTCTCGGTATGTCCTACCAATTCTCCTATGACTTCAAGCAAAACCAGACGGTAGGTTAATGAAAGCGCTACCAGAGATTCCCGGAAGGTTCAATGCAGGAGAGGAGTGAGCAGATGCTCTGGGGTTACTTAACCCGTGGTGTACAACAAAAATACCCAAGGACTCACAGCCAGAAACCCCAAATGTTGATATTGGCTCTGCCAGATGACTTTGGACAAGTCATTTTCTCTTTTCCAGACTCAGATTTCTCAACTGTGAAACGATGTTGATATCCCTTGCTGTGCTTGCTTCACAGGCTGGGAAGCAGCTCAAATGAACAATGTGAAATCAATTCTTATTCACATCTGACCAGAAGTCGTTTATCATACAATAAGTATCTGGCACGTCATATTTTAACGCACAAAGACAAGTTTGGAACCTCAAAGTATCTGGTTCAGCTCACACGTAGTACAGAAATGAGTGTCACAAATTAGCACGATCTCGCTAAGGGCCTGCAAGCTGTAGGCAGCCCCCAACCCCAGGAAGACTCTCAAGGAGTTAGTGCGCACTGGACGGGGAAAGAACGCCCCAGATGTTGCAAATGCCTGGTCTACACAGCACTAACTTTTCAGCAAGCAAGCGGTCCCACGTGCGAGCGCCAGGAGGCGGGACCGCTCGGCCCCAGCGTGCTACAGTAGCACATTCCTGGAGACCTGATGCACTCGGCTTACGGAGTGTGGGCAGACCCTTCTCCCTGCCTGGGCCTCAGCTTTCCTATGTGCAGAAAAAGACTGGCTGGGGACGTCCACTCAGCTCCTCCAGAGAACGCAGCCAGGACAGGGAGGATCCGGCCAAGAGGTGGGGAGTTACCTCGAAACTGGGGCGTCCCGGGGCTCGCGCCCGCACCGGGGCCCACGCGGACGAGGAAGACTGAGGTCCGCGCGGCGAAGCCGAACAGGCCCCCGGGCACCGCATCGCTGCAGCGGGCGCAGTACCAGTTGGGAGAAGGCGGCAGCGTCCGCGGCTCCTGCCCCATGATCACCAGCCGCAGGAGATGAGAGAAGCAGCCACAGGGGTAGACCGTTTGCAGTCCCACGCCGTAGCCAGGAAGAGGGGGCGGGGCGGACTCCGGACCCCGCCTACTTGAGCCGCCGCTACGGCGCGCGCCGAGGCCCAATAAAATTCACCGCACGTTCGGTTCCAGGCTCTGCGAGGGGCTGAGAGGGGTGGGGCCGCGCTCTGTGCGCTGCGCGCTGTGAGCTGTGCGGTGTGCACTGTATCTCGTCAGCGGCTGAAGTCCGCCCAACCCCAGGTAAGGGTCGGGTGCTGCTTGAGCCTGGCTCGACCCCAGGGTTACACATTCTCAGTTCCCACAGCTAGGCACATAATTAAGGGGTTAGTGGAGCCGCCTCTCCGCAGTGCTGGTTTATTCTTTGGACCTGTTCAACCACTGCCCCATCCAGCATTTTTTGAACGTTATGTGCCAGAACACTTTGCTGGTTCTCGAGATGAGAGATGCTTTAAAGATAGATACAGGAAGCCAATACAGTATGAACGAGGAATCCAAAAGGTAACTAAGTTTCTGCAGCTGGGTGGAAATTCTGGCTCTGGGTTCTTGCTACTCGAGGATTAAAGAGAAGCCAGATGGAGTGACTCTGATTTGCTAGGTGGAGCGCCAATTTAGTGAAGGAACCGTATGTGTGATAAGCACCGTGGAGAAAAAAGAACGGAAGTTTCCTTCCAACACTGCAAACATGCTAAAACTTTCAGATGCTGCAATACTCCTGATTGTATATTTGCACTGGCTATCGGCAGTCCTGCATGTGACAAACCTAAACCTGGTACCTATCCTTATATAGAGGGTTTAACCATATATATTTGGATGCGTCTAGGGGTATTAACTTTGGAGTTACCCAGCCCTAGACTGACCACTGGTTTTGCCAATCGTTAGCTGGAAGCTTTAACTTTTCCTAAATATGTCGCCTCATTTGAAGAAGGGAGATGATAATCCCTGCCTTGTTGGATTGCTGTGCAGAATAAATGAAATTTAATGAAATGCCTGTGGGCATATATAATAGCAAATGCCAATGAATATTAATTTATCTTGGAGATCGACCTGGAGATGAATAGGGATTAGGGCATTGTACATCATAATTGAGCTTTTCTTTAGAAGAGCTTTCACACGGTTTCTATTGATTTTTACGACAAGCTGTGCCTTAGGGATAGTTATTTCTGACTATTTTACTGACGAGCATAAATGCAGCCCACCAGGTTGGATGGGTTGTTCACCGACTTTGTACTCTTACTCCTTTCAGACCTTTTGTGAAGTGAGGCCTCATAATTTTTCTGGATCCCGGTGAATTTCCGGAAATCTTAGTTTTTGGCCTTTATTGAGTCATTCATTCCCCAGCGGGACTGCTCTGACCACACCTTCAGCGTCCGCCGCGTGCTCAGGGTCTCCATGACAACACAACACCCAGGTTGTACGCAACGCTGGGTCTCTGGACCGGAGAACCCAATGCCCCACTGCGGGGCATTGCGCATGCGTGTTGCCGAACGGCGTTTGAACTGGGAGGCTTCCGTAGAAGGAGGCGGCGGGAAAGATGGCGGCCGCGGTACTGGGACGATTAGGTAAGGTTTTCTTAGTGTTTAAGGGCGGAGGAAAGAGTCCAGGTAGGAGTCTGGGTTAACGGTTTGTGTTGTTGCAGGTGCGTTATGGACACAGACCCTGCGGAGCCGGGGGAAGCTGGCCTTGGGGTAAGTCTCTCGCCGGGAAGGTCCCAGGGCCTCCTTACTATTCAGTTCCTTAGCGCCCGTTTGCAGGGCTGGGCTTTAGGCTCTGGGACCACAGAGGTCCGTGAGACAGCCCGAGTCTCTGCTGTCGCCCCGTTTCCTACCGTCGTATAGCATAGCCTTGCGGAGACCAGGATTACACCTTACTGAAGGGCGGTCGTAAATGTGTTTTCAACAATCTGTGATGTTCTGGGCTTTAGGCTCCTCCACGTCTGCATGCAGCTTTTCTGTCGTAGTTACCTCTCTGGTGATGTGCATACGTGGGCAAGGACTGTGTTGTAGACAGCCGTGGTTTACATGGTGCCTGATAATTGTGCTTTACATTCGTTATGCCATGCTCATTACAGTCTACGTAATAGGTACTACTAACGCCATTTTTTTTTTTTTTTTTGGAGAGGTTTTCGCTGTAGGGCGCGTGCGCTTGCCAGACAGAGAGACAGAGAGACAGAAAGTGAGAAATCACCCCCCTCTGGGGGGGGGGAGGTTTTTTAAACCACCGCGTCCAGGACTTGAACCCTGGTCGACTACATGGGAGTCCAGCGACATAGCCACTATTCTAACTGCTGGTTCCCTACTAACACCATTTTTAACCCCCAGACAAGCAAATTGAAGCCCCCAAATGTAACATCACTTGCCCAACTCTATGAGAAGGAAGTTTGAAGCTTTATACTGTACTGTCCAAAGCATTCTGTAGCCTTAGGGCCAAAGTGTTCTTCAAAGTTTAGGGAATGCAGTTGAGTCAGGGCTGGCAAGAAGTTTTTTTCCTGGCCACCACTCATTGTCCCTCTTGTACAGTACAACTATTGATATTTGGAGATTGACAGTCCGATTATAAATTTTCTGATGAGTACATTTGTAAGCATTTATTTTGGTTTATTTCATAGGCTTGGAGGCAGATAAGCTGGGTTAAAGTTATCTCTTAGGTGTTAATAGAGTAATATTAGTACCTATATGGGGGCCAGCAGGTGGCACAGTGGTTAAGGCACTTTGGACTCCCACGTGGCCAACCATGGTTAGAGTCCTGGACCTGGCAGGTTGAAAATCATGCCAGTCATGGGGGTGTGCACCTAAAACCCAGAGAGGAAAATGGAGGAGAAGGGATTGCGGCATGGCCATCACTCCTTTGGGTGTGATTTTTCACTTTCTCACCACTAGCAAGTACATGTGCCCTGTGGCAAAAATCTAAAAATAAAAAAATTAGTACCTATCTCAGATTTTAAAAGAGTGATGGGTCCTGAAAGGTTTTGTTAGGACAGTCATTTTTGGAAGAGGTTAAAGTTTAAAGAGTAAAAGAAAGTATTTTTGTTGTTTAGAAATAGAAGGGCTAGCTTAGAACTTTTAAAACACTAGTGGTTAAGCTATAAATAGGTTAAAATTCTCCACAAGAAGAACCAAATTGGAAATGTCATGAATTAGCAGTTTGGTGGGAAAATGATAACAATATGATATATTTGAATAGACACTGGATTGCAGAAGATAGAGTTGGACTTCAGGTCTCTGCCAGAAACAATTGCGGGTTTGGGCAATCTGCTTAACTTCTCAGAGACTCAATTTTCTTAGCTCAAAAAAAGGAAACAAAGTGGGGGAGGGAGGCTCAATCTACCTTAGAGGGTGGTTGTGTGAATTAAGAGACTGGTATGTGAAGTGGCTACTATAGTGGCCGGCTGCAGTGGTGTGCACTGAGGTGCTGTGCCATGGAGGCTGAGCCCTTGTGGGAGGCCTGGGTTCAATTTCTGGTCCAACCTCAAAGGCTGGATGTGGTGGCATGAGCCTGTGGTTGTAGCTGGGAGGCCAAGGCAGGAAGATCCCAACATAGTCATTTTGGCTTAAAAAAAAAATAATGACTAGGGGCCGGCAGGTGATGTGGTTAAAGTACTGAGTGAACTCCCACATGGCTGATTGCGATTTGAATCCTAGGCCTGGCGGCTTGCTTTCTTACTTTCCCTCTCTGGTCAAATAAAAAAATAAATAAATGAGATTTAAAGAATAATTCTTTAAAAAAATAATGCCTCATATAGTGTTGGCACTGTGGCAATGTGATGTGGGTGATGTCATTATAAAGTTCTTTCAGAAGAATCAAATTTTTGTGGCAGTCTTAGATGAGATTGTGTATTTTATCTGTTAGTCTTTATAGAATAGTTGATGCTATGGTTGGAATGTACCCTTAAAATTCATGTGCTGAGATTTCATTGTGATAGGATTAATAGGGTGGAAGCCTAATTAGATTATAGCATTGAGATTGCAGACTTTGGGCAAAGATTAGGATTAAGGTCATGAAGGTGGAGCTCCATGATTGATTCTGGTGGGTTTGTAAAGAGAGTGGCATCGTGGTTAAAGTGCTAGACTCACACATTGTAGACTGCAGTTCAAGTCACAGATCTGGTAGCTTGAAACACACTAGACGTATGTGTGTGCCTGCCCAAAATCCCAGGAGAATGGAGGAGAAAGGGATTGCAGCGTGACCGTCCCCCTGAGGGGTCATTTTTCACTTTCCTTCTTACTGTGTTTGTGTCTCTCTGGTGAGCTCACATGCCCTGTGGCAGAAACCTTGGGGGAAGAAAAGAGAGAGGGTTCAGCAAACTGCAACATAGAAACGGACTCGGATACATGAGCTGCTGCCCTAACCATGTGATAATGCGGTTACAGTACTCGTACCCTTGGATTTCCAAACCGTCAGCAGAACAAACCTCTGTTTTTATATATCACCTAGTTTTGGGTATTTTTGTGATTAGCCTTAGACTGGAATAGAATAATTGGCAAGGAGACAAAAAATTGAAACATAAATTAGTCTACTTTTCTGTTTAATCAAGGCGCTCTTTTTTTTAACAATTATTTTATTTAACTTTATTTATTATTATCATCATTATTATTTTCCAGTTTGATAAGAGACAGAGGAAGTGAGAAAGCAAGCCACCAGGTCTGAGATTTGAACCATGTGAGAGTCCAGTGCCTTTAACTACCATGCCACTTGCCAGCCCCTAATCAAGGCACTCTTAAAGGACTTTTCCAAAGAAAAATGGTAGAAATTTTCCTTAGTTTTCATCCATCGGTGCTTTTAGCAGTCTGATTGCCATGATGAGCAAGATTTGACAACCACATTGATTTTGTGTTTTCTTAGTTAAACCTAACCTTGTGCCCTGACTTTAAAATCAGTTTTTTTAGAGACAGGGTCTCATTACATTGCCCAGGCAGGCCCTGGCCTCATACTCTTCCTGCCTCAGCTTCCTCTGTAGCTGGGATTATAGGCATGTGCCACCATGCTTGAGCTGGCAATGGTTCTTAAATTTGAGTCACAGACATTTTTGAGAATGTGAGGAAAACTGCCAAAACCTTCCCAGGAAAATGCGTATCGCATTCATAGTTTTCCTGGTAATTTCATAATCTGCATTCTCGACATCGCTGCACTAGGCCATCACAGCTAGATCTAAGCATTTATCTGTGACACGGAAGGTAGTGTAGTGCTTGCCATTCAGGAAGTACACAGTCACGGTTAGCAGTGTGAAGTGTGTCAAAATGTATGTTGGATAGTGCTCCATGTATTAACGAGTATAACATTTCCCTCCATTTATTTGGAAAAATTTCAGTCCTATGGGAGTGTTAAAGGAATAATGCAGTATCTTTCAGCTGGCTCCTCCAGTTGTTAATGTGCTTTCACTTTTTCTACAAATATACATGCTTTTTTTTTTTGCTTCTAAACCACTTGAAAGTGAGTCACACACTATAGCACTTACTTTTCTTTCTTTCTTTCTTTCTTTTTTTTTTTTTTTTAGAGGTTTTTGCTATAGGGCACGTGTGCTCACTGGGAATACAGAGAGAGACAGAGAGACAGAAAGTGAGAAATCACCCCTCGAGGGGATGGCCATGCCGCAATCCCTTCTCCTCCATCCTCCTCTCGGGATCTTGGGCACACACACTTACACGCCTGGCGTGAGTTTAAGCCACCGGGTCTGGGACTCGAACTGTGGTTGACTACATGGGAGTTCAGAGAAATAGCCACTATGCTAACTGCCGGTCCCTGGCAGCTTTCAATACTGTAAGGTATTATTTCCTAAAATTGAAGACAGTCTCCAAAAACCACAAGCCATGATCAAAATGGGTAGTATAGTTTAATAATTTTGTATTGTAATGTTTTGATTGAAAGGATTAAATATAGGGGCCAGCAGGTGGCATAGTACAGTACTGGACTCCCACGTGGCCAACCGCAGTTCAAGACCTGAACTTGGCGACTTGAAAATCATGCCTAGTACTTTCAGGCTGACCGGGCTGGAGATCTGAAACACAGTCACCATGCAGGACCTGGCTTCTCTTGAGCAGCACATTACTTCTGCGCCACAGAGACAGCCCTGGATAACTTAACTTGAGTCTGCCTTTCAGCGCTTTTTCATTTATTTTATTCTTTAGATTAATAACAGTGAAGTAGAGCTATAAGCACACTTAAAGCTTTGTTGGAAGGCATGAACATTGTAGCCCCTGGAGCAGGAGGATGTTTTCGGCCGTTTTGGGGCCAGTTGTCGTTGGTGTCTTGGGTGAAGTGGTGTGGCATTTTTGGGAGTGGAGGTCCGGTGGAAACTAGGAGGGGAGTGGCAGTGGGGCATGCAGGGGAAGGATTGGGAGCGGCATTGTTCTTCTAGAGGGAGGGGAGACCCCCTTTTTCTGCTGTGAGAAGTCTGGGCCTCTTTGGTTTTGGAGAGTTACAGTGGCCTTGGAGACACACAAATGAAGGGTGGGGACTGTCCAGCAGAGGCCTCCTGTAGTCGGAACGCTGCGGCAGGGAAGAAAGCCTGCGTCCAGACCCCAGCCTAGGAGCTCTTGGTTGCCACCCTTCCTGTCAGATACCCCTGTGTTCCCTGTGCTCTCCTCTTTCCTGGTCCTTTCTCCTTTACTTGAGGTGCCCAGAAAGCCCCTAAGCTACCTGAAACCTTGTTTCCCCCATTCTTTTCCAGAAGCTTAACTTACTCCAATAAACGCCAGGCCATAGCAGTAATGATTAGAATGATGGAAACAATACCTTTATAAATGTGTCCACTGGAAAACAAAACAAAACTTTGTTGGAAATTTTGATGGAAACAGTTTTACAGGAGATGGATCCTCACAATGATCCATGCTGTCATTTGTTAATTCCACCAGCTTCCTTTTCCTGAGTTTGTTTTTTTCTACTGACTTTTCACATAAAAAGTCTCACAAGAGCCTCCGTTTTGAATTAATTTATATTTTCATTTTTACCTTAAGATTGATTCTTGGTATATAGGTTTTAATTCAGTGTTATTCCAGCAAGTGGCCAGGAGAGGGCATAGAAACTTTTTGTTTACTATACTTCTAAATTAAGTACCCCGGTTGGAATAATATTTTAATTTCATTTGATTACAGTAGTTTAGTATTTGCACCGTAATTCAGTTTATGAACTATTGGAGCCCTGAAAGTATTAAGAGGTATTCAAAAAGCTTTGTTATTATTAATCATAATGTATTTAATTTATTTTGAAGTTTTGCTTTTGGCTGATCCTGCTGCTTCAGCCAACGGAGTGGCTGGGACCACAGGTGTAAGCCATCACGTCTGGTGTTTAGGATGGACTGGGAATTGAATCCGGGTCTCCCACACAGCCTCAGCCGGCTGAGTAGCCCCATTAACCAGCATGCACCACTGCAGCAGAGCCTAAGCCATTTATAACTCACTGAGTATGTGTTGAGGATTTGAGGGGTGCAAGGTGCAAGGCATTGTGCTAGATAGAGGCCATACTGAAGACTGAGCCTTCACCTTGAAGAAACCTTTCCGATTGCTTAATACAGGGGCTATGTCGAAGAGTAATTGGAACTTGAAGCAGAGCAGTTTGTGTTTCTGTAATCATGCTGTCAGGATGAGAGTAGAGATATAGGATAAAGGTTAGGCGAGACCTTAGAGGAGATGGGTTCTAATTTGCCTTTTCATAAAGAAACTGTTCCTCAAAGATGTGGCTAATTAGTGTACCCACTAGCTACAGCTGCATTGAAACATAAACACTCATGTTTATAAACTAGAGAAAAAAGTTTGAATTGTGTAACATAAAGTGTACATCTCACAGGATTTATCTGGGGGGGGGAGGCTAGGAGAGTAACTATTCAGAGGGCCTGATTTAAAAATACTATTAGCCACCAGGGATTGTCATGTGCTAGACACTGTAGTGTATGGCATATTAATTATTAATTCACCACCAACAGAATGAAGTAGGTATTAGTCTCTTCATAATTACATCTGAAATTTATTGAGTCCTTCTAAGTGTCAGGTTAGGCATTTTATTTGAAGTATCACATTGGAGTTTCTTAAGGCTATGAGATAATTATTATTACTCTGTTTGCTAAAGGGGATAATTAGCTCTAGAAAGCCGGTAGACCTCTCTCCTCCTCGGCTCTGTCCTGTGCACAGGTGTACATGCCTTTGTCCCACTGTGGGCGTGTACAGCCTCGCCTCTGCCGATTAGATCCTGCTCAGTGATCCCTGCACGCCTCTACCGTTTCCCACATTTTTGTTATTCATAGTTTTATGTTGTCCTCTAGTTGTCTTGTGTATTTACCTTGCTAATCAACAAAGTTGGGTACTACCACAGGTTAGGTTGGGGATCCATTTTATCTTAATAAATCTTTCTTAGGACATGACTGACTTATAGAAGGGAGTCAGTATTTATTGGTCAGTCAGGGCAGGAGATCGTGGGTTACTATCTGTTACTATTTATTAACTTTTCACTCTTAGTCGCTGGTAAACTAGCTCCTTGTTTACGTTGTTCCATATAAAAACCAGTCTCAATTAATGAATACTGCTATAATGGTTCCACTTGGCTAGCACTAGTCGTCTCTATCAGAATGGAGCTGATGTTGAGAAGATATGGAAACTCTGCTGAAAGGTTCTATTGTTTTACAGACTTCCTTCATCTCACAGTGTTTTACCCGCCTCATGCCTTCACACAAGTGCTGCTCTTGACATGTCTGGAAAATGGGAAAAGAAGAATAAAATTGTTTATCCTCCCCAACTGCCCGGAGAACCTCGGAGACCAGCAGTAAGTTTGTGGGTAGAACTGCTCTGTTAATTTTAATAAAGTTCTCTTGTTCTAATGTGGTTGGCAATGATTTATTATTTTATGTTAAAGTGTACAATGATTTGCACAATCCTTTAATTGACAAAGAAGATGTATTAGATTTATCTCTGGTGATTTAAAAAGATAGTCAGTGCTTTACTTAACTTGGTCATTGTACTTAACCTCCTTGTTAGGGACCATAACTTTTTTTTTAAGAATTATTTTATTTGACTTTATTTATTTATTTTAATTTGACCAGAGAGGGACATGGGCGGGGGGGGGGGGGAGTGAGAAAGCAAGCCACTAGGTCTGGGACTGGAACCACGGTTGGCCCTGTGGGAGTCCAGTGCCCTTAACCATCATGCTACCTGCTGGCCCCGGGACCATAACTCTTAAGATGATAGTTTGAGGTATACTAATTCTGGACTCCAAGAGGCTTGCTGGTGAATTCTTGCTTCTGGAATATAAGGAGTTGGCAAGAATAACTCACTAGTGGTTAAATCATACATATGATTTTCTAGTGTCGTATGTATATTGGGTGGCTGGAAAAATCATGATGCATTTTTGCATAGAAAAAATATGTCATGACTTTTCTGATGACCCTATATATGTTTTTTAAACAATTAATTATGTATTTATTTCCATTTGTTATTGTTACTATTTTTTAAATTTTACCAGAGAGAGAGAAAGGGAAAGTGAGAAAGTAAGCCACCAGGTTTGAGACTTGAACAGCAGTCGGCCATGTGGGAGTCCAGTATGCCACCTGCTGGCCCCAACTTTGATATTTTATTACAATATCAGAACTTGAAAGTTAGATTTGTCAAAGAAGCTGGCTATTAAGTATTGATTTCAGTTTGTAGTTAACTAAAAATTAGAAAAATTTATGTTTGTGGAAGTATTATAAATATTTCTCATAATAGCGTTTACTTATCTGAGCTCTTTGAACTTAGATATTAATAGGAAGTAAATCATAACAGTATTTTTAGGTCTAGAATCTTTTTTTTTTTTTGACAGGTTTTCGCTATAGGGCGCGTATGCTTACCAGAGAGACAGAGAGACATAGAGACAGAAAGTGAGAAATCACCCCCCCAGGGGGGATGGTCACGCCGCAATCCCTTCTCCTTCATTCTCCTCTCGGGATCTTGGGCACGCACGCACATGCACCCGGCGTGAGTTTTAAGCCACTGGATCCGGGACGTGAACCACGGTCGACTACGTGGGAGTCCAGCGACATAGTCATTACGCTAACTGCTGGTTCCCAGGTCTAGAATCTTAAAAGCAAAATTTTATATTAGTTTCAAATTTTGTAGATATCAAAAGAAAACTACCTCAGGATCTATCCAAAATAGGAAAAATTCAAATAGTTGTTAGTATGTCATTTACCTAACTCCAGCAGTGAAGAACAGTGACAGTCCAGTAATTTTTTGTGTATTATATTTACTGAAACTATTTTGATTAACTTTAAAAAATTGCTATAGGGTGCACGTGGTTGCCAGAGAGAGAGAGCGAGCGAGCGAGAGTGAGAGAAAGCAAGCACCCTTTGGCAAGGTGGGGGATGCCTCAGTCCTTTCTCCACCATTCTCCTCTTGGGTTTGGGCATGTACACACATTCACTGGCATCTTTTTTGTGCTACCAGGTCTGGGACTAGAACTGCACAGTTGGCCATGGAATCCAGCTGCCTTAACCACCTTGTCACTGACCAGCCATGACTAGCATTTTTTGTATCACGGATGCTCCTTACACAGATGCCTGTTGAAGGCACTTGGTTTAATTTTATATGGGCACTTTGGAATAGCTTAGGTTTTTTATTTTATTTTTTATTTAATTTATTTTTTATTTTATTTTATTGAGAGTACATGAACTTGTCAGAGAGACAGAGGGAAAGGGAGAGAGCACCCAGTCACCCAGTCACTTCATTTGTCCATCCTATTAGGATCTTGGGCATGCACACACAGCCAGCGTGGTTTTTTTTTTTTCTTTTTTTTGGAGAGGATTTTGCTATAGGGCGCATGTGCTTGCCAGACAGACAGAGATAGAGAGACAGAAAGGGAGAAATCACCCCCCCAGGGGGGATGGCCACGCCACAATCCCTTCTCCTCCATTCTCCTCTTGGGATCTTGGGCA